CAAATTTCAAGCATTACCTATATTTTACCGAATAAATCAAGAAAACTACAAAAATTGACAATTACTGCATCCATACCTCAATTACACACCTGTCATATTAACTGCAACACAGGCAGGTATGTCACCATATAATTGAGTATAATGTGATAGTCATTTAATATTATTTGTTCCCAAAACGCAAGCCATACTTAATTAATTTCTCATATAATAATACAATGAGACAATACTATACTATCGTATCCATACTATCTTAATAGATATAATAAATTATCGGATCAAATAAAAGAAATAGTAACGCAAATTAAGATGTATTATTATCAAAAACAGTCAATGAATTATGTACCTCCCTACATGACCGATAACATTCTGTCGTAACCTGCGATAGACATATTGATTAGAACAGTCACACAACGTAGTATCATTTTGCGAGTACAAAATGCGACAAGCTCGTGCCGACAATATGGATATGGAAAACGCTTACAATATTTTCTTTGTTTAATGCATTTATATAAAATTTATTTAATCTAAAGTAAAAACGAGAAGTCGAGTTGTTACGTAAACCTTATTCCCCCACTCCCATATTGATATTTTGCATTTCTGCAAATTGAAAATAAAACGCTATGTCCACTTAATACATAAGTCAGTCAAATATTCCACCTTCCTATCGTTTTCTTGTTCCGACCTTGTTATTCAGCAGCTGTTATAGGCATTGAATGTGATATATTGATAAGCGAACTATGTTGCAGGGTAAAATCATATTTATTTGAACTATTGTATTATCATTAGTATTAACATTGTGATTATTTACGTCAATGTCGGAGATATTCTAGCTCAGAGCCAAATGAATGGCCATGACGATGCGATATATTCCAGAGAAAGGTTTCACTTAACTTGCGATCATGTAACTTGCTTAACAAATATTATAACTGAATCAGAATGTGACAAATTAATATATTGACAATTGATATCCAATTTTACATTATTATCATAACATCTAATACAATTCGCACCCCGCGCCTGTTTGCACTTAATAGACATCCATGTGCATTTTAATTTAATATAATATAATATTTTAATCAATAAATACTTTGCGTTAATTCCGCTGTCACGATGACAATTCCACCAGGGGAGAAACAATCGGGTATAATAAAAGCGGAGCTGACTACTATCTTTTCTCATTGCAGATTATATACTGATTTGAACGATTCTTCAAACACAAGGTAAGATGCATTTGTCTTTATAAATTCGACTAGAGATTGGGATTTTGGTATTTGCACATATTTATATATCTTTTTGGTATATTTCACACAATTTCTTTTACGTGTATAGTTTTTATTGTTTTCGTTCAGTGTGCATACTAACGAAGTAGTTTACCTTAAGTACATGGACTGTTATATCTTAACAAATCCCCGGCATGCTCTTTATTATTGGAGGTTGTTTTAGTGATTGTAATTCGATATTTTGTTATTTCTAAATCTGTATCTATATGTAAATATGCAAATATACCTCCAAGTTTATGCTCAGCAACTGTTGTAAAATCATTCTTTAAATATATACAGTAAATGACATTTAAAACGATTCACATGCTTGTATATTTAGGAGACTTTGGGAAAATTTGAAGGGAAAAATCACTGATTAATATATCATTTCAATATCATAATACAATTACCCGATAAAACTCTGCTCAGATTGCTGAAAATGTCAATTAAATTTATTAGTCACATTCTATTCCTTTAAAAATAGCGAAGTCGTAAATTATCAAACATCTAGATATAAGCTATGTGTTCCCTCACACCAGTGTACGACTAAACCGTTTACCACACGGTAATGTGAAAGATTACCAGAGGTACCAAGTTCGGGGAATTCTCCACCCTTCTATCGAGCAAAGACACAGAGAGAATCGAATCGTGTCACATTGGGTCTCAGCCACGTTGTAACTCTCTCCCGGCTGCGTCAAGACTCGGCCTCGTCGAGAGCTTGCCACAACTAACTGAGATCGGTTTTATTCACATTCCAACTGTTAACCAATTACAGAGAAGTTTAAGAGCTCGAGGCGTGGCCTCCACACATATAGCCAATCACGCAAAGTAATCAACACGCCATAATGTCAGATTAAGGTAGCGAGACTATTATTTGTGTTGAAAATTACGATTTTCACATTTATTTATTAATTGATGAAATGCACCATAAACTTTCATATGATAAAGTCAATATAACATAGAATGTCATGTAAGTTGGTTAAAATATAGATTTTCTGAAGGGAAGCAAGGCAGCCTCAGTAGTGTTTTCCAAAATCAACAACACAGGTTTAATCTGTGTGCCTATAAGTTTCAAAGATAAACTCAAGACAAAGCAATGTTAGGATGTGTTATCAGTAGCTATCTGACACACAATGAGTGTTTCCAAACATTTGAGTGGTTTGTTTCCGCCCCTGTTTGTTTCACAGATTAGTCATTTGCATAGATAGATAGATAGAATTTTTTATTTGCAACGTACCATG